CCCCCCGGGGAAGCCCCCCCCCCCCCCCCCCATGCTAAGAGCTTGCAGCTGGCTCAGCTCTCTTCCTTGCAGCTGGCTTGGGCTGGAAAGCCTGACCTCTCCTCACCCAGATCAGGACCACAGCCAGACCTGGTGTTGCCTTGGCTTATCGGGAAATTCCTTCATCTTTAATTTTCCCTCTCCCGAAGATTTACCGGTTTAAGGCAAGCTCAGAGTCTAAATCCTACCGATTGTCAGCAGCTTAATCAAGTGGCTTGGAGCACCCGGCCAGTGCTGCTGCTGCACGGGGAGCTGTGTGGCGGAGGGTACCACACCAAAGGCAGCCCCCCAGTGCCCCAGCTCAGGGCTGAGGTGGCCAAGGCAGCACCCAGGTACCCCTCACCATGTCCTGGGACTTGTCCCTGCACACACTTTGCACCTTGTGGCTACACTTGTGTTGCTCACAACTGTGTTTGTGAGAACCCTTAGCGTGCAGCTGCTGAGACCACAGGCCGGCTCTCCTGGCCCCAGCTGGCCCAGGCTTGGCTCAGAGCTGTCCCAAAGCAATGTGGCTACACGGCCTTTCTGTGCTGAGGAAAGTCCAAGGCATCATTCGCAGAGACTGGCCATCCATCCTGCTCTCGGATGGGGCAGCACGAGAGAGCTTCTGTCCTGCAGGAGTGGCTGGTGTTGCCATCAGGGAGGACCAGGATGCAGAGGTGGTAGGGTGGTGTATCCTGGCAAGAGGGAGCCTCCTCTGAGGGGGTCCAAGCAGGGCTGAACTTCCCTGGGCATGTCAGAGGCATCTGCAGATGGATGTGTTACCTTGCACATAGAGAAGGAGCTGCCATGACCCATGAAGAGGACACCATGGGTCAAATCCCATGGATAGGGCAGGGATGGGGCCCAATGCAGGTTCCAACACAGCATGATGGCAAGGTTCAGAGAGTCACCCACCTGGGAGGTCAGACGGTTGTGCCAGACCAGAGGGCTTGGAGAAGCAGAGAAGGCAAAGGTGTTCCTCCTGCCTGGGTGAGGTCTTAGCTGAAGGAGGACTTGCGCCACTGGCAGAAGCAACAGCGAGGCCCAAATTTTCATGGTCTCACTGGTGAAAGCCAGGTAAACAGGGAGAAAGGCAGAGAGATGGGTCAGAAGTGCGTCCTCCCTGTGTCTATGGGCTGACTGGTGCAGAACATAGGGCTGCTGATCGAGGGCACAAAAGGGATCTTTAGAGAGGAGAAAAGTTAAGAGCAGGACAGTGGGGGAGAAGGAGGATCGGGAATTCAGTATCTCTTTCAGAAAAAAAAGAAGAAGTTTAAATCATCAATGTCTAATTAGTGGACGACAATCAAGGAAGGGTTTAATTAGAGCTTTGCAGAAAGCCCCAGCTCAAAAGCCACTGCCCCCCTAGGAGGAAACTGGATCTAATTAAGAGAAGAGACTCTGCTTTATCGCAAATAGAAACGTAGCCATCTGCCCTGTTCAAAATCCCAGTAACGCAAAACTGGAGATTTTGCTAAATCCTTCTGTTATAAAACCAGAAACGGTCCTTTAACATGAGCTTGTCAACAGCTGTATAACTGACAGCACCCTGGTGCCACCCCAGCCCTCAAAATTAGCAGAGAAGCTCCTTCAGAGAGTCCCATGGGATGATGCTTTTTTGAAGAGAAACGGGCTGCGTGGGTGATCCCTCTCATCCACCCTCCATGGAGGGCAGGTACAGGATCGAGATGAAGGCAGCTGGGCTGGGATGTCTCCGTTCCAGTGACCATGTAGTAGTCATCTGCTGCAGACCAGAGCACAGGAATACACCACCACCACCACCACGCACTGTGGAGGTTGCCCAGGAGCCTGAGCGTTTCCTCCAATTCCCTAATTCTCTGCTGCAACATAAGATGTGGTCAACCTGTGAGTTAATTCTGAGCTTTGAACAAAGTTGTCCTGGTGTCCAGCACTAATGCTGGAGCGAGAGACCCCAGCTGCCTCTGTGTTGCACCATATCTACATACCTCCTGTGAGGACAGTCACTCTGAGCAGGTCCGGGGCTCTGTTTTTAGGGAGGCTTCAGGCAGACCCTTGGTTTTGTGCTTAGAGTCTACTGAGGGTCAAAAGAGGCAGCCAGCTGAGCACACAGTCCCTCTTGCACGGAACCACTAGTCCCACTCCTTGCAGTTCAAGTCCAGCAGTAGGTGTGGTGGGACCATTCTGCTCTCCTAGGCCAGGCATGAGCACACCATGTCAGGTGCCTTTTCACCGGAGGCCATGTCGTTGGCCACGGGGCTGGGCTTTGTCTTTATCAGTGGCACTTTGGAGTGAATGATGCTGTGTCCAGATGTGATATGTGATTGTCTCTGATGGAGAATGTGATAACATATATCCATCTCAGCCCTTTTCTCCTTTGGGAGACACCCTTTGGAGCTACCCTTGTCTCTCAGGTGGGCCCTTCCCACCCAGCAGCGCGTGAACCAGGAGCAGAGGCAGAGCCTCGGTCAGTGGCTTCATCTTCTGCTTCATCTTCATGAGCTGTGTTTGCCACCATCTGAGTGGAGACCCCTCACGTGGCGCAGCTGCATGGCATGGTTTTGGCATGTCCAAGGAGACCAGTGGTTAGGAAGGCCGTTGCCAACTGCTGGGCTGAGGACAGCTGAGCTGTGTGGTGTGACAGTGTGGCTGCAGCCTTAAGGGACAGCAGGGTCTGGCCCGAGCAAGCACCGCAGCCCAAAAACACTCCCTGGTGCCAGCAGTGATGCGGTGGCTCTGCTGAGCCACGTCAGGATGGGCTCATCTTCCCAAATGGAGAGCCAGCTCCTCTTGGAGAGAGTTTGAGGTTTCAAAAAGAATGTTTTCGTGGATATAAAAGTCATTCATTGAAATTCTTAATGAAAAAATGAGAGACAGATAGCACTGCTCCAAAGTAGCCAGGCAGCGGAACTGGGACAGCTACTTTCCCTGCCCAAGGGAGAAATAATGCCAATATATGATCTTCCAGGTGATACGATCTTCCACCTGCCGACCTTGCAGCAGAGAGAAGACATTGCTGCAAAAAAACCCCGTTGTATTTGCTGAATTGCCAGCTTCTGGCTCCCCAAAAAAGCTTTCAGAAAGATTTCCCCTCTCCTTCCCCCGCTCCTCCTGTCGTGCAGCGGGGACGGGAGCAGCGACGTGGCGCTGACCTCCTGTGTGTCCAACACCCTGTGCTGGGCAGCCCCCACCCCGAGCTCTGGAAGGCAGCGTAACCCCCCGGCAGGAGCTGTGAAGGTGCCCCCCGACCCGCGGGGAGGGGCTGAGCCCGGCATCGCGGAGCCGCTCGTGTCCCGGAGCTCACATCCCTTCGCTGTTGTTCCAGATAAAGTAACTGTCAGTTCCGATTCATACCAACCCGTAACTCCATTCTGAATCCTGCAGGTTTTTTGGCTCCTAAACAGCCTGTGGAGCAAAATGCCGTAAGGGAGCTCCTGTCTGGGTAAATGGCCGGTGCTGGCCATCCGTCCCAAGCACGCTGCCTTTAATTTTCATTTCTTTTTGAAGCATATCTATTTTTAGGAGGGGGGGGGGGGGTGTGTTTGTTACTTTTCTTAAAATGCCGTAAGGGAGCTCCTGTCTGGGTAAATGGCCGGTGCTGGCCATCCGTCCCAAGCACGCTGCCTTTAATTTTCATTTCTTTTTGAAGCATATCTATTTTTAGGAGGGGGGGGGGGTTGTGTTTGTTACCTTTCCTTTCAGCGCTCAGCTTTCAGGAGGTTTCCTAGTGAGAAGCAGCCACTCCAGACCTCAAAGTGACAGCACTGTCCCCATTCCCCTGGAGGTTCGGGGCTGGTGTGCAGTGCCCAGGGGCAACCTGTTGGGGATCTCCAGTGGGCACCCCCATGTGCTGATGGCACAGCATTGCAGTGAGCTGCTGTGGGCACAGTGGAGGATACAGCACCTAGAGCTTCCTCCCCTTCGGCACGAGGTAGATTTGAGGGCCAGGAGGGGTCACCAAAATCCTCCTGGCAGAGTTGGGGGGTGGGAGTGATGTGCACAAGGGCAGGGGACAGCCAGCTCACTGAACTTGATGCAGGGAGAGCCACCACCTACGGGACCAAATGCCGCGGTGTCCTCAAGCCCCTTTGGGACCCAGCAGTTGCTGGTTTCCCCCCTACTTACCCCACGTTTTCCAGTTTTCGCTCCTCAGTGTGTCCTGTGGTGGTGTGATGCTCTGTGCTCCACTGGTCAGGGGGAAGCCACGTCTTTTGGCTGTAGGGCACGTCCTTAGCACCTTCCACTGATGGCAGGTGAGAGCAGTAAAAGCCAGTCTTCATCCAAACCTGCAGGCTAAACTAGACAGCAAAAGTGATTAAAAAAATCAGATTTGAATCCTGCAGGCACAACTGCACAGGGCTGGGGCGGCGCTGGGATAACCGTGGTACTCAGCAAACACACAGGTTACTCAGTCCAGATTAGCTAAATGTACCTTCTACCGGGGATGTCATCCTGCCAGGAGCAGCCTCCTCTTCTCTCTCTGCTAAAATCTCATTCCCGTGTTGCAGCCTGAGCTGTAACATTGAATTCCCTTCAATTAATTTATTTTGCCAGGATTCCAAAGCCCTTGAGCTGCCCATTTCTTGTCATTCTCCCATGACAAGGGAGCACTGAGGAGTGGGAAGCTGTGAACCAGCTGCAAAACCAAGCGGAGAAATGCTTGGAGAAATGTTCCCCCGGGGCCAGAGTCCCCCCAGGATCCCCTGGTCATCCTTCCTCCACATACACCCTGCCCCGGTGATCACCGACATGCCCAGTCTCAAATTGTCTGTCCAACTGGGAAAACTCTGGAAGAGGGAGTAGGAGCCCAGGGCCTGGGGGAAGGATGGCAGCTGTGGGGTGTGACAAAGCAGCTGGCTGTCCTCATTGCCACCGAGGACTGGCACCACACCCTCAGAAGAACGGGAATTAAAACCAAAATGGATGGGAGTTGGGGTTTGTTTTTTTTTCCTTTGTAGGAGTCGTCACTTGGTGTTTTTCCTGTGGTTGCAAGGCGTAGAAATTGGCTTGTTTTAAACAAAAAAAGAACCCAACAACCCAGCATTTTCCTGCAGAGCTGCAAGGGGCCTCAGGGCGCTGGGAGGCAGGTGCTGGCAGAAGGGTGCTGCGGGTGGGGGGACGGGCAGGCAGAGCCCCCTCCTCACACCCCTCACACCCGCTGCGGGGGGCTCGTTGAAAAGGGCAGTGCTAAGGCCCGTGGACCGTGTGGGGATCCCCTCCTCGTCCCTCCCTGGTGCTTCAGTGTCGCTCCTTGCTGCAAGCACGGGAAGGTGTTTCCAGGACATCGGGCGGCCCGGGGACATGCAGAACAGGGAATTGCTTGTGACAGAGCAGAGGACTCGGCTTGCCGCTGGGAACACGTAGGACAGATGGGGAGAGGAGAGGAGAGGAGAGGAGAGGAGAGGAGAGGACTGAGCTGCTCTTCGCTGGGAGAGAACCTCGTGGGAAGAGGCTGGTTGCCCTCGGGCAGAGGTGTTCGGGTACATGGGGCGACTGGGGAGGGCTCCTTTGTAGTTCGGTTCTCTCTGGAAAACGGGCTGTGAGATCTTGGGAAGAGCTCCTTGAGCTGCTCCAGGGGCCAGGGCAGAGGCTCCCCTTGCCCCAGGGCCAGTGCAGAGTGGGCACACGGGGACAGGAGGCACCGGGGCAGGCAGACGCAGGTTAGAGCCAGCCCCAGTGGTCCTGGGGGTCCCCATCACTGCTTGTCCTCCATGGCTGTCTTGCGACAACCCGCTGCACCAGTGGCTCGTGTGCTGTGTGTTTTTCCTGTACCTTTTTGAGCCGCGCTCTGCTTTCACCTTAAACCCTGTCTCTTGTGTCCTCCACGAGTGCCGTAGCCCTCCAGCACCTTAATCCACTGCCTCTTGCGTCATTGCCCCGTCCTGCCACGTTTGGGACCTGCTGATGTCCTGGGGGACCCTCACTCGTGCAGCTGTGGTGTTGGCAGAGCAGTGAGCTCTCGGTGAGCTCCTGCTTTCCCCGGGCAGACAGATCCACCCAGAGCCCAAATAAATGCTTGAAATGCAGAGGAAACACCGATGCTTGCAGAGCCTGGGGTATCTTCTCAGAAGAGAACCCAGGGTCTCTTCTGCCCCTGCAAAGGGCTGACCGAGGGCCATACACAAAAGCCAGGAGCCTGCCGGAGACCCTGCTTGTGGAGGTAAAATTGGCACCTGATTTTTATTTTTTTTTTACTTAAATTTGCCTTCTCCTGCAGCCCTGTTCCCTTCTGGGCCACAAGGGGCTGTCACTGAGGACTGCTGGCCACCCTGGCAGTTGGGGTGCTCTCCTTGCCTCTCGCTGTGCTTTTCTCTGGCCCCACTGTGCTCTTTTCTCCTCCTCACCCATTTGGGCAGAGCCGTTACAGCCCTGCCTGTTTCCAGGCTGGGTCGTGTCAGCCTGACCAGTGCTGTGGGGACAAGACCAGTGCTGCAGGGGCAAAACCACCCCCTTACCGGGGATGGCAACAGAGCACCTTGGCTTTTTTCACAGCTGCACTTCACTGGGAGCTCAGAGGGGTCCTAAAATCCTCTCGGCATCTCTGCTTTCCCAGGGAGAGCCCCCGGCATTGATCTGTTCCTCCCCCTGACCTTTAGTTCAGGCAGCTGGCAGAGTTAAATGGCATCTGGCTCGGAGGTGCCCAGGTTAACTGGGCCAGGCTGCTGCTCGCCATTTACTGAGCAGCGCCCCAGCGTCAGTGCTGGTTGTATGTTTCCTTCCAGAAGGGATGGTTTGGGGTTGGTCTGGTCCCAGTGGACAGGGAGTTCCCCTGGACACAGCCATGTGTGGCTGGGTACACCTGGTGACAATGTGCTGGAGATGTCAGCTGGCTGACTGGCACCTCACGCGTGCCCCATGCTCTGCAGCCATGCGGTGCCAGGCTGTGTGTGGTCATAAATCAGCTCACCTCTGTCTGCAAAGGTGCTTTTACCGAGCGAACGTGTCATGTGGAGGGAGGAGGCAGAGACTGGGCAGAAGCTGGCAGGTGGTACCACGTGCTGGTGTGTGGGCTGCCGAGGGCGGCTCGCACTGGTATCCCTGCCCTTTCCTGGGGAGAGTGGTTGGCACAGCTCATCGGGATGCAGGAGCCATGCCGAGTCCCGCTGTGATGCCCTGCGCTCGCTTTCCTCCCTCTCCTGGGACTTCCCTTCCCTCCTCAGCACCCCATGGTCTGCTGTCCCTCCAGCAATAAGGGACGGGGAGGCACTTTGTCACTCCTGTGGGCACAACAAGCCTCTCGGTTCTTTCCTAACCCAGGACAAAAATACTCACAGCACACCCCAGCTTCTCTACAACATCGTTGATATTTTTAGCCTTCCCAGCTGATAGGGGGTGAGGAGCTTTTGTACTGGCTGTAGTTAGAAAAAGCGTCGCCTCCTTACCTTGACAGTCACGGGCTTCGTCTCGGCGTTTCCCTTCTCGTCCATCCTGGTGCTCCCTGATGTCTCCCTGCGGGATGGAGCCTGCTGGGAGTGGTGCTTGCAGGGCCGTGGGGTGGTCGGATGCGGGTGCTCCTTGGGGACGACGACCCTTTTGGCAGGCAGGAGCACGCCAGTAGCTCCTCTCACACAGGGAGCCTGGGGTGATGAGGAAAGCCCCGGGGGGAACCACTGATCCTGTGGCTCAGAGACCAAGCCCCTGATGTCCCCACTTGTGCATGGGCCAGTTGTGGGGCAGCCATGTGCAAACACTGTCCCCAGGGCTGGGGTGTTTGTCACCTTCCTGGCTGTCCTAGGCTGTGCTGGTGCGCTGACTGGGGGGCTCAGCGCCTGGCACTGCCACCCCTCAGCCCCTCCTGACGCTGCTCCCTCCTCTCCCCCCCGCAGCGCTCTGCCTGGTGCTGGGCTGCATGATCTTTCCCGACGGCTGGGATGCAGAGACCATACGGGACATGTGCGGGGAGAAGACAGGGAAGTACTCCCTGGGCGACTGCTCCGTGCGCTGGGCTTACATCCTGGCCATCATCGGCATCCTCAACGCCCTCATCCTCTCCTTCCTGGCCTTCGTCCTCGGCAACCGGCAAAACGACCTGCTGCACGAGGAGCTCAAGACAGAGAGCAAAGGTGAGCGCATGCTGCCGGGGGGGGCCCCACGCCACGGCCCTGGGAGGGGGGTCCCGGGTGGGAAAAGCCCATGGGGCTCAGCCCCTCCATCAGCCTGCAGCTGGGCAAGGGTCCCATGGGCTTAACTGCCACCTGCACGGTGGGAGGGCAGGGTGGGAGTGGGCTGCCGAGCCCCTGCCCTGCCTGACGCACTCTCTTCTGTTTCCACAGATTTTGTCGGCACTGCGGTAAGTCCTGAGTGTCACTGTCCCCCAGCTCTGACTGTGTGGTGTGTTGGGGTGTGACTGTGCTGGGTGGCCCCTCATGGGATGGGATGGGATGGGATGGGATGGGATGTGTGGGGCAGTGGGGAAGGGAGGCAGCAGGGAGGTGGGACAGCAGGATGGGGACAGGCATGTGCGTGGCACATGCAGGTGGCACGATGGCGCGGTGACACCTGCCCAACACTGTCCCCGACCCACTGTGCTCTCCCCGCAGAGGATATAAGGCCGAGTGCCCGCAGCAGGACCCTCTTCCCGCGGCCGGCAGCCTGGGCGCTCCCTCCCCGTCCTGCCCTTCGTCTGCTGCCAGCGGCCACACAGCGTCCCGCGCCGCCCCCCCCGGGCCCCGCCGCCCGCCCTGGGGACGTGCCAGCCGCCCGCCGCATCCACGGTCACCTCCATGTCCACGCCGGCACCGCCATCCCACGCACCCCGCCAGCTCCGCACCCCCCACCGCCCGCGGGCCGCCGCCGGGGGAGGATGCCCCAAACCCGCTTCGGTTGAGAACAGCGTCCAACTGCGGTTTTTGCTTCGAGGAAAAAACAGTCTCAAGAGTTTTTAACAGATTTCTACATCCCCAGGACTCCTGACCCGCAGAATCCCACCTGAACGCGCCCCCCTCCCTCAGTGACGCCCCGCGCCGGCTCCTCCGGGCCCCTCTCCCCGCTCCCATTTTGTACAGCTCCGTGATCCTGTCTCCACAGCTGGGGGACCCAGCGGCCAGGACGGGGCCCAACCCCTACTTTTACGTGTAAATTCATATTCTCTAAACAGGGTAAAGTGACTCGAGCCCCCTCGCCCCCGCCCCGGCCCCCAGGACGTGGTGTTTCCCGGCGGTGCACGGCTGGGGACCGCGGGGGCCTCGCTGCCACCGGCCGCTGGGACACCCGACTCGCTGCCGCTGAATGTAAGCCCTGGTAAGTGGGAGCAGCTGAACATGCAAAACCCTCCCTGGGTGGGCACAGGAGGACCCTCTCTCTCCCCCTGCCAGCCCCCTCCCCGAGCCAGCCGCGGGCTGTTGCCAAACGCCTTCCCTTCCCATCCCCATACGGTGCTTTATCTCCACTGGTGACGGGCTCTCCCCGCCACACGGCGTGGCTGTGGGCCGGGGGGATGACCCAGGCATTCCTGTGCCCACCCCAGCGTCCTGACCCTGTCCCCTGCCCGCACCTCGCTGCCACATGGCGATGGCCCCGGGGCAGCTCTGAGCCTCTGAGAAGCCTCCGAGCGCGACCCGGCCTCAGTCACACACACGCAGCACCCAAGAGCTGGCACCGACACCCCCGGCACGGGCTCTGCTGGGGTCCTGGCCGTGGCGGGGGGGCTCAGGTGGCCGCAGCCCTTGCCATGCAATAAAGTCCTCAGCACTGGCCGCGTCTCAGTGCAAGTAGCCAGGGGGCTGTTTGCAGGGGGGCCCCGGCAGGGCTGGCCCCAGGCGCTGGGCAAAGCCCAGGAGCAGAGCGGGATGGTGGCCCCAGGATGGGCAGCCCTGAGTGGAGGAGACCCATCCGCAGGTACCCAGGCAGGGCCACCGGGCGTGGAGGGCGCTGGGGGACGGCAATGAAGGGCTCTGCGGGACCCACCACCCAGCCCCGGGGTTGGGGGGGCTGGCGGGAGCCGGTAAGTGGTGCCCTGAGGGGAGGGAGGAGGGACAGAACCCAGCCCAAACACCCACCGGCAGCCAAAGTCACCTGGGGATGGCACCGGTGCTCCTTCTGCCAACGGCTGCTGCCAGCCACGACCCCGGCGGTGCCACTGTCCCTCCGGCAGCCCCCGCGTCCTCCCCCGGCCGGCGGGAGCCCCTGCACCCCGCAGCGCCCGGGTCTGCCAGCTTGTGAGTGCTGCTGCTGCCGCCGGCTGAATTGGGAAAACAAACGAAGAAAAACAAAAAAATATCAGTGGAGAAAGGAATACAGTAGCTGTAATATATCTGTATTTTAGTACAAAGTTTGATACAGTGTTTCACAAAACCTTATTGAAAAATATAATTCAAACCAGACGAGCTCGGAGCCCTGTGGTGATGTTGGGGGGCGGGACGGGACTGGGATGGGCTTCTCTGGGCACGGCTGAAGATGAGATGGTTTGTGAGGATGTGGAAGGACCCTGCGTGGGCACCGGCCATGGCACGGCTACACGGGGTGGGGATGGGAGGGTGGGGACCCCCCCTGTGGGGCTGAGCCTCCATCCATGCAGGATGGCACTGAGGGGGACACCGGCCAGCGCACGTCCCCAGGGAAAGGGTCTGTCCCACTCCGTGACAAGGCAGGAGGTGGGGGGGATGAGAGGGGTCTCATCTATCACTGGGGGCATCTCAACCCTCCCCTTCTGCCCCTCCACGGGTCCCCTCGCCCCAGGTCGTGGAGCCACGGTGCACCACGGGTGGTCTGTCAGCTCCTGGGCTGACACAGGCTGGTAGGAGCCTCCTGAAATTCAGCAAATCCCTGTGTCTTGATGGAAAAACAACTCACGTGGCTCATCAGCCCAACGGCACGCTCTGGTAGAGGAGCGGGGACAGCTTTCCAGGCTGTGCGAGCGCTGGGGCAGCCTGGGGACCTCTGGGCCATCTGGAGAGCTTCAGCCAGCTCTGGTCTCCCGGGTACGGGACACGCTCCCAGCCCAGACGAGCCCCGTGCAGGCACACGGCAGGGAGAGACCGAGGGATGGGCTCCTGGAGAGACGGGGACAATTTGTTGGTGCCCGGACCTGCTTTGGGGGAAGGCACAGAGATGAGATGGAGCCAGATCCTTCTGGGGGATGCAGAGAGGCAGGACAGAGCCACCACACAGTCCCACGAGGTGGCAGGGGGAACGCTTTCACACCGAGGGTGGTCGAACACCGGAGGTGTTGGGGCACCTCGGACATACCAGCTTTGAGGGTCAGCTGTTGGAGGTAACGCCTGGTGGGTCCCACCATGGGCTGAAGGTCTCAGGAAAAGGCAAGCAGGATGAAAACTAAAAGCCCTGGGCATCAGCACACCAGAAACCAGGTTTGGCAGCAGGTGCTTAGCGCAGGCGACACCCTCCACCCCATCAACCCCCGGAGATGAGCCCGAGCGAGAAGAGCAGCAGCCAGTGCAGCCACAAGCTCACCCCCAGCCAGGAAGCTGAAGGAATTTCCCTTTCCTCAGGAACTGCGGCTCCTGGAGCAGCCCCTGGCATCACCCAAAACACGGGCAAAAGGGAGGTCCGTGGGGTTGCTCCCAAAAGGTTCCACTTACCCTGCAGGGACAGGGAAGAGAGAGCACCAAGCACTGACCCCCCCACCCCACGACTTGGGCACCAGCGCTGAAGGTGGTCTGGACACAGAAAGGGAACTTTCAAAAACACCGGTTTTCAAGTTAAGTATTTTTATTATCAAAATTATTACATCTCTTGTGAAAGTTCAAATGTTACAGCATGGTGTAAAAACTCCACTAGAGTAAGAAGCTACAGCCCCCACCTTTCCAAGAGCTTTCCAGGGTCCCTCCCTCCTGCCCCCCTGCTGTGCCCGAAGGTGCCGGAGCCTCTGGGCA